GCAGAGCTTCCCCCCCCCCACTTGACACCGGCTCTGTGCTGTGACCTGCAGGGCTTCCTCCCCCCCCCCATGCTGTGACCTGCAGGGCTCCTCCATACACACATACACTGACACCAGCGCTGTGACCTGCAGGGCTCCCCCGCCACATAATCTCAATCATGTTTTGAATAGCTGTGTATTATTTATGTATTTATAGTCCAAACAGTGTTCTTAAACTCTACACCTAGTGAGAAAACAAAAGACCAAATAGATTTGCACGTGTAAAACTGAGAGCAAAATTTGACTCAAAATTCCAGACCCCACAGAATTTAATGAGATTCTGAGGCATCGGAGGGTTAATGTTAGTAAACTCCAACTCAGAATTAAGGTCTAAAAAAACAATCTATCCCATGCAAGTAAATTACAAAGACCCTTCTTTTTTATATTACTGTCAATCACAGAAGAATATAAATTATTTGTTGGTGAGAAGGGGTGGGTGGGGAAACTACCACAGCTCACAAAACTGAATACTCTTCTCCACCCAGCTCTATTGTACCATTTTAACTAGACTGCTTTAAAATCAGTTAAATCAGCGCAACTTTCTCATGTGGACAAGGCCTCAGTCCCCTGTACCTCCCTTCTCCCATCCCTGAACTCTCTAGTGCATCTTTCACTGGGCAGGGCAGAGTGTCTCTGCTCCCTCTTCTTCCTCACAAACACTTATTTTACTGGTGGCAGTGGTTGAGGGAGTCTCTGCTGCTCCCCACTGCTCCCGCATTCCTTCCTCAGTAGCTGCTTTTCTCCATGGAGATGGGGGAATTTCCTAACAATTCTCCCCTTCTCTGTCCCCTTCTTTTCAGGCTCCTTTTGCTCCACCAACCTGCCTGTCAGTGGTGTTCCCTCTTTCCGCTCCTTTAAATAAAAACAGGGTGATCCAAAGAGACAGAGGCTTATAATGGCAAAGAGCAGGCCTGGGAAAGAGGGAAGTTTTGGCATCTTGCCTCATTGAGGCAACTTCTGCTACCTGCCAAGGTAGAATGGATGCGGGTAGGGAGTGAGCCTAGCCGTAGAGGAGGTGGAAGTAAGTCGTGTAAGGTTGCAAGCAAAGACTGAACATCAGAATGAGAGA